AAATAAAGGCCTTTAAACTACTAAAGAAGATATTTACTATAGCCCTAATTCTTATATAGTTTAACCCTAATAGAAAGATAGTAGTTAAGATAGATACATTTAACTAGGTAATAGGAGCTACTCTATCTTAGTATAATAATAATAGGGTGCTAAGGCTAGTTATCTATATCTCTAAGAAGAATATACCTATAGAGTATAATTATAAAATCTATAATAAGGAGTTACTAGCTATTATTAATACTCTTAAGGAGTAGGAATTAGAATTAATTAGCTTACTATAATTTAAGCTTATTATAGACTATTATAACCTTAAATACTTTAAGATAGTCTATAGACTTAATAAATAATAGATATATTAGTTATACACCCTAAGCTAATTTAACTATAAGATATACTACTAGCCTAGGAAGCTAGCTACCTACCTAGATACCCTATTATATAGGGAGTAAGATATACTATAGGATATAGATAATAATAGACTTAAGATATATAATTATTATTTAGTGCTATTTAAGGTTATTACTAGCTAGGTATATATATAAGTATTTTATAATTATAAAGTAGTATCTAACCTAGATATAAGGTTACTAAGTAAATATAATAACTAATATACTAAGCCCTATTATATAGTCTCTAGTATAATATCTACTAGTAAAGCACCTTTACCCCTAGAAGAATACTAGAAAGAAGCTATACTAGATAATATTAATCTATAGAAGATATACTAGGCTATAGAGGAAGGGGCTATATAATTCCTAAAGAAGTTATATATCTAAGTATTAATTACTAAGTATTTAATATTACTAGATAACTATCTACTCTACTAAGGCTGTAAATAGGTCCCTAATTCTAAACCTCTATAGATAAGGATTATATAGGAGACCTATAACTTAGTATTAATAGGCTACCCTAGGAAGAATATACTATACTTAATAATTACCTAGAACTTCTACTAGCTAGAGCTCTCTATAGATATTTAATAATTTATATAGAACTATAATAAGTATAGTACTAACTATATATAGTATAAATAATATTAGGGATTACTTAAGCTATTACTAATCCTAGATTATAAGTAGTATAAGATAGCTATTAACTTTATTATAAAGCTGCCTACCTCTAATAGCTATAAGGATATTATAGTAATTAGTAATAGGCTTAGGAAGGGTATAATCCTAGTGCTCTATAAGTAAATAGATTCTAAGATAGTTATCTAACTACTAATTAATTAATTTATTAGTTATTATAGTATTCCTAGTATAATTACTTTAGACTATAGTCTATAGTTTATTAGCTAGTTCTAGGAGTACTTTTATAAATAACTAGGTATTTAATAGTACCTCTTAACAGCCTTCTACCTATAAATAGACAGGCAGATTAAATAAATAAATATAATACTAGAGGCCTACCTTAGGAACTTCTATAACTATATATAGACTAATTAGAAGTTACTACTACTAATAGCCTAACTAGTAATTAATAGCTAGGATATAGCTAGTATAGGGGTTAGCCTATTCTTCCTAGATCATAGGTATAATATTAAACTATTAGAGATTAAAGAGCTGGACTATAAGGTAGCTACTACCTATATAGCCTATTTACTAAAGGCTAAGACTAAAGTAATTATAATAAAGATAAGGGAAGCTACTAATATAGTATAGTTAGAACTAGCTATAGCCTAATAGTACTAGAAGGAATACTTAAACTACTCTTACTTAGCAGCCCTATAATATGCTATTAAATTAAAAGTATAGTTAGACTTATAGAATATTTAAATAGATTACCTAAGTAGGAAGCTTAATATATAGTATATAAAGTTCACAGTGCTTAAAGCTATTAGGTTATATACTTACTAATTAGATACTCTACTAGGTATATATAATATATTTTACATTAGTCTACTATATCCTACTACTAGTAATCTATTCCTAAGCTAGTTAAATAATAATTACTAGCTACTAGTAGTCCTAGTTAATAGTAAAGTAGAATATACTATTAAGAAGATCTTACAGGAGTATAAAAAATATATTAGATAAGGCTATTAAATAGAGTACCTTATTAAGTAGGTAGGCTATAAGCAGCCTACTTAGGAGCTAGCTATAAACCTTACTAATACAGTAGTACTTACTATATAGAAGGCATACTAGCCTTAATTTAAAGGGGGGGATAGTATAGCAGGTAGGGCCTACTAAATACTTAAGCCTACTAGGTACTTATAATCTGCCTTAGGTACTAATAAACTCTTATCTAGTAGGGACACCAGTAGTTATATAACTTTTATAGTAATTAATATAGTAATTAATCTTATTATATGATCTTACCTACTATTTATATACTCCTTTTTATATTTAGCTATTACAGCCCTAGTTAGAACCTTTTAGTGATTTCTTACCATCCAAATCTAGGTTATAGATTTATTAGGCTTCTAGCCCATGACAAGTTTCACCCTACTAAAACTGAAACTGAAGTAATTCCCTAGGCTAGGAACTGAACCCTCACTGCTGCAAGTTCAGTAAGGGTTAGATTTGATTTTAGCAGTTTGGTTATGCAACTCTATGTGGAATGTAGTACTATACTGTGCTTAAAGAAATTCCTAGGCATTGGTTGGTGTAAGGGATTCCTTCTGATCTCTCTTCCTTTTTCATAATGTCATTTACCCCATATTAGAACCAATGTTATGTCTTACACAAGTTTTTAATAGCCCTTGATGTGATAACAGATACACCAACATATATCTACTTAGTACAGAGACTATTTTGCCCATGTATTAAACTGGCTTGAATCCTACTTAATCAGGCAGCCAGGCCAAGTCTAGGTGAGTGATAAGGTATCTCTGGAGTATTTATGACTGTATTATCGATGTAATCTGACATCTAGGCATAAAGGGAGATCAACTACTAAACAACGTGGCCTTATTCCTCATACCTTTCAGCTCCTTATTAAAATCCTACCTAACTAGAGACTCATTCCAAGCTAGTAATATAATCTTCTAGTTGGCCTACAGAATATACGAAGTTTAATTGCTTACACCATCCTCCTACCACAGGGAACACACCACAGCGGATAAAATCACAATGGTAATCACAACGCCTAACTGAGGCCCCCTGACCTGGAGCTGACCCGTCATACCTTCTATAGGCTCAAACTCCCCAACAGCGAAGAGCAAATGAGAGATATGCGAAACATGAGGCTGCAAAACGAGGCAAAGGGCAGACCACAGCAAAACCAAAACAGAATTCAAAGTCCCCAGTGTCCACTGGATGGCTGGGTATGTACCACAGCAACTAGAAGCCATCTACGGGCATGACCGAATAGCTAAGACATCATATCATAGTCATTCTTGCATTTGTTGTCTGCGGGGGAATTGCATTCGAACTTCTGAGAGTTATCCCAGCGATATGGTCAACTGCGACGACGATGCTCGGTCGCTTCATTGCCTAGGTAGCTGCTGTTAGCGATGCGATCATCTCAAGCTTGTAAAATACAGAGTGCTTTTCGAAGTATGCCACCTATTCTTCAACCTCAGCTTTCCAACATTTTGAAGCCACATCGAATTCATCTGTTGGAAGATTCGACTCAGAACGGATGTCAAGCAGAGACATAAGCCGAGATGATACTCTTTCACGTACGTTAATATCTCTCGCACATATTACATTCATGCTGCTTCTTCAAAGGGCTTCGTGCACCCAAACCATAGACTCCAGGCTGTAAAACCGTCAAAGACAAACCGTCGCTACATGATCTATGCATCATCATTGACGGATGCCACTATTCGATGAAAGTAGGATAGGAAATTCACCTCACCCAAGGTCTGCGCCGCACTGTTGCCTTCCGCTTCGGGAGAGGTTGCAGATAATCACATCCCGCGGGTACCATCCTTTTCCGCTTGAGTTGTCTTTTGTAATAGCTTGGCAGTCGCATGTCCCCTCACTTTGGCCTTCTTACTTCTCTTTTTCTTCCTCACAGGTGTACCCTCCATAGGTATGCCTTCCGGGTGAATTCGCTCCGATGCTCGCTGCATTTCCAACCGTAACCTCTCTACTTGTCGCATCGCTCTCGCCATCTCTGCATCATCCTGAACGGTTTCGCCTAGATTAAGTGCGGAACTCGGGCTTCGATCTTCACCCTCCAAGGTAAGGAGCCCAAGGCTGCTGGAATCAACTTGGAGGAGAGAACGCTTGCTTTTGTCAAGGTCATCCGCAACTTTCGGCAAAACGGATTCACCCAGTCCAATGGTCTCATCAGCAATGACAAGATGTTTTTTGGGGCGTTGACTTTTGTGGTGTCGAGTCTTGCTGTCTGACAGTGAAGCCGCACGTTGGTCTCCGAACGTGTTCAAATCAAGGTTAATTATGGGGATAGAGTCGACATCCAAATCACCGTTGGGTGAGATGCTGTGGTCTCGGTCTGACGCACCAGAAGGACGATCTTCGGTAAGTATATAGAAGGGATCCTCTCTGTTGCGTTCTTGGCGCTCGGACCTCCGCTTAATGGCGGCAGAGAGGTCATTCAGTCGACCATCTGGAACCTGGTATGATGAATCTGGATATAGCTCGACCGTAGCAGACACAATGGGCATGCCAAGATGTTTGGATGTGTCTGCGACATGGTAAAACTGTTGGGATGGATGCTGGCTGTCGATTTCGGGGTTCCAGTCCAATTCGCCGAGAAGGGTTGGGAATTCTTGATTGAAAGCTTCGTTAAGAATGAGACTCCCTGGGAAAGGGACCTTTTTCTGAGCACCGATAGCGACTGGGTTGAGTTCCAACCCAGAGAACAATCCGGGCATTATGGACGATAACAGAAAAGGCATTGCTTCCGAACCATGGCGTTCCGTCACTAGAGCATCAGCTGCCAAGCGTACCATTTCAAGAAATTCAATGGCTCTTTCCTGCACATCCAGATCAGGATGAACTGCCAGTGATTCGAGGAAATTGATAACTTGCGCAAACAGTAGTGATATCTCGCAAACCGTTGCTGTGTTACAATCTTGGTGTGGGTCATTGGCCACTTGTATGAGCACCTTAGGAACTGCCTGAACGTAGAGGGACAACGCCTTAGCTGGAAGTGACATGTTCGAAATGTCGATCAGTGACTGGAGCGTTCGACGAGGGTTACAAAGACAGCCCGAATACTCGCCCACTACCCAAGCTAGGGATCCAAGGGCGTGGCTATCGGTATGAGGTTGAAGGAACAATGCATGTCGGTTCTCGACGGAAATCAGAAGTTCTGCCGCTCTTGTGGCCTGCAGTCGGACTCCTTTGACACGGACGGCGACATTGCGTATTTCCGAACAGATCCGGGACATTATATCCTCTCCACGATCGTCTTCCAACGCCCGAATAGCTCGCGGAAAACGGAGTTGTTTAGTTTGCCGTGGTCGGAGCTTCATCAACTCTACCAAAAGGTCGACATACCATTCAAAGTCGTACAAGTCCGAATAGTTGTTGAAAGAGCATATGTCAAGTATCCGATGTATCACTTCGATTCTATAGCTCTCAGGCAAAGTAATGGGTCCTCTTTGATTGTTCAAGTTCTCTGTTGCTGCGGAATGTCTCGACTCAACAGGATCAAACGTCGTAGCATCCTGAAGCTGCTTGAGTAACCGATCGACGACGGACTGGAGAGTGTCGCTTGTGACCATCCTGGCTGCAAGCTCCAGGGCTTGAATTCGTATCGAGACATCGGCATCCTCCAAACAATCCATGATGACATCACAGTGGACCGATACTAAGGCAGGATGTGAGAGCAGGATTCTATTGAACGCCAGTAACGCGACATATTTAACTAAAAATTATTTTTAGTATTCACACTTACTGTTCACAAAGAAACTTACGGTTTGGGTCGGAATTGGCGACAACCATTCCTCGAAGTTTCCCGACACAGAGACTTGCGACTTCATCCCTCTCTTCAAGTGCTTCGTCGCCGTCGAGTATGCCTCCTTGAATGACGCCATTGATACATTCATATAGCAGTGACATGGCGGTCGTCGTTTCAATTATGTTCATCAGAGGTCCAGTGAGTTTCCGAATTAGTCTAGGTTCTAAGGGTGTCAAAGTCGCAAACTAGTCTCGTTAGAAGCGTATACCCTGCGAAAAGGGAACACCGTACCAGCTTGATTATCTTGATGGCCATCCAATTATTACCCCCATCGACTAATAATTCAAAAAGCCTCGGGGCAAGTGGAAGAAAATCACGCGGCCTTCTCCAACCAAGCTCACATATGACGTTGATAACGGCCGTAGTTACACTACCTTCCTCTTCATCGTCCATGAGGCGCTCCCTTAGTTTCGGCCATGCAAACTTGAGCGCCTCGGGATAAACCAAAGCAAGTCTGTAGAGACACACAACTGCCTTCTTGCGCACAACCCCGCGCGAGTGAGAAAGCCGAGATAGAACGTCAGGGAGCAATGACATAGCAAGCGAAGGAGTGACAATGTGCGGTAATGTGGTCAGTGGTAAGGACAGGCTCGGAGTACTTGATGATATGAGATCCTATTCCAGCGTCAGAGAAGTTTTGTAGAAACGGAACTTGGGACCTCAAAGACCTTCTTCAACAGATTCGTTGCCAGCATCAATACGTCAGTATCGGGTCTAAAGCTTTGAACTGCCCCAAGGTAGCCAGCTCTCTTCTGCAGATATCTCGAAGATGACATGACTTCCAGGACATGGAAGGATGCCCATGACATATCATACCCAAACATCTCCAGATAAACTATTTTCAAGAGTGCAGTAGCTTTTTTATCTGTAATATATTAGCGGGCTACTTGTCGTATCTTGAAGGCGAATATGAAGTTCGGATATGCATACCCATATCTTGAGATTTGATCTCAGTCCTACATTCTCGAAGACTCTCCTGTATAAACTCATCTTCTGCCCCTTTATGATTCCTTAGGCCTTTGATCAAGTCATAAAGTGATTTCTCGAACCTAATTACTTCTAATCAGTGGGAAGTTACACCGGCTCAGCAATCGACCCTACATTTTTAAATGATTGAATGAAGGGATTTGTGACGCTTTGTCTCATAAGAGATCAGGTAGATATGCATGTGGCTTCAAAGGCCGCAGATGACTGAAAGATCTAAGAAAATATAGAATTATTTCTCAAAATATGGCATGATTCTGATATCACTGGGGTTCTTTGTCATGTGGGGTATATGAAGATAAACTACTATGATGGATGGTTAAAGTCACGGGACTGAAATAGTAGTACTACTTCCCTCTTTGGAGTATAGAATACCCCATATTTTAGCTCTATAGGGTCACTTTGATAAGCACAGATCCGCCCTAGACAGACAATTTCTCCCAACTTCTGTGAGATTCACGTAAATACAGTTCCTGCTTTGGTTTCCCCCACAGACAGTTATTTTAACTGAATAATACAGGTTGACACCAACATTTGCCAAACAATGAGTCGTACAGCTCCGGAACTCCATGCTATTCATGGCTCGGATTTGTTCTCTAGCCTTCATCTGTCACAACAGGCACCGTTGATCCTCAGCCGACGCCTTACATCGGAGACCAATTTGAAGTCCACGTTGCTGTTCTCGCCGGAGAAGTTTGAGGAATACAGGGAGATCGAACAGCTCTTATTAGCTTGTTTACAGACTGGAGATGACAGATCAGCACTATCCTGTCTCAATCACCTCGAACAGCGCTTCGGGGCTTCAAATGAGAGGGTTCTTGGGCTACGCGGCATATACGAAGAGGCCGTTGCAGAGGATCGATCTTCCCTGGAATCCTGCTTACGCAAATATGACACCTTACTGCTGGAGAATCCGTCCAATATGGTCTGTAATGGGTCTTATTAGCCAGAATTATCCGCTAATCCATATTTGATAGCCTGTTCTAAAGCGGCGTGTTGCGCTTCTGCGTGCATTGTCTCGACCCACAGATGCTATACACAGCCTAATAGATCTGCTGAAGGCTGCCCCTACGGATGCGGAAGCTTGGTGTGAACTCTCAGATATATATAAGTCTCAAGGAATGGGACTCCAGGCAATCTTCTGCCTTGAGGAAGCATTATTGATCGCACCAAACGCGTGGAATGTAACTACTTCGGAGCACATCACCGTCCACCAGTAGAGAGACTAACGATTCTTTCGTTGTTCCGGATCAGATTCATGCTCGTCTTGGTGAGCTTCAGTACCTCGTCGCTGGGTCTTCCGACCCAGAGCAATCATATCACCTATTGCGCGGGTCGATCCGTTCTTTCAGCAGAAGTATTGAACTTTGCGATGATTATCTGAGGGGTTTCTATGGCTTGGCTTCAGTGAGTGCCGTCATGTTCTCCCTACAACAGGGCTTTTACCACAAAAACTAATATAGATATCGAAGGCCTCTGCGATCTTGCTCAAAGGTGAAGGGTATCGAACTTACTTGCAGGATTCTTCATTGTCGCAAGCAGACGATTCACTCTCAGTAGCGCTGCTCGAGAATCTGAATGCCTTTGCTAAAACTAGGATCGAGGGTATCGTGAAAGAACGGTCCAAGGGGCGCATTCATTCTGAGTACAGCCAAGGCGAGCTCATCGCAGCGAAGGAGCTCCTCAATCGTCTCAATGTATCCGACTAAAACCATTCCCCGTCGCCGATTTATTGAATTTCCTGTATCATCTGTCCTCATAATGGAGTGCTTCCTGTGTTGGATCTGGAACTACTCTCTCATTACTTGTCTGATTATGCCAAAGGCTTATTCTCTCAGAGTCTTGAAGCAGCGTTCTATTGAATATTCAACGACCTTGCAGTGCTAGATGATGTACATGTCAGTCTTTCAAACATGATCGAACGCTGAGTATACATGGGCTAATCGAAGCACAGTACGGGAGCACACCAATTTTTGTACCCCTCATAGTATCAACTTTAAATAGGCATGACCCACTTACGTCATGGCCCTAAGATAGATAAGTGAAAGACTTACTTACAAAATAGGTATTCCCGTGTCACAACTCCTTTTTAGACCTAGGATAATTCTGATGACAGTGTCTGGGGTCGATATTCAGTGTAGAGATTTCCTATTCGTATCTCGATCTCCGCATGTATTATGCCTCGGTACATTTCTCCATATTATGAAGCCATTTCATGAGAAGACACATTTTTGGCACTACTACTCAGTGTACCTCTGTACAGTAGAGAGGAAAGGTCGTACCTTAGGTTTCTTTTCCAACCTGAAGGCCATTTATTGGCTAATCATGGGAGGCTGAAGGCCTAGGCTTGTATGTGTTCCATCTAGAAACCGAAGGCAGAATTTATCATGTTAGTAAGAATAAATTCCTCAATTGGGCATTCAGGCAGCACAAGGTTCGCAGGGTGCCTGGGAGGGTATGAATCAAAAGTGCCAGCTCAGTGCCTAACGAGACTGCGCATCAAAACATACCATACCCTACCTAGTAAAATGGAGAAAAAAAGGTAAAATTTTCTCCCTCGGTATACTAAAATGCCCAAACTCCGCCTCAAACATATCTGGTCAGGCACCTTCCCACATTTGGGTTCTCTTCTCTTGGTGTCATCGCCAATCCCCCAACCACTGTACTGGCTTAAATTCTTCTATCCTTTTCCACTGTGACCAGATACATAGGGGAAACTGAGCCATAGCTTCGATCTGAAAGAGTTTGCTCATTACATTTCACCAAGCTTCAGCTAGACTGCGTATTATTGCCAAACCTGGAAACTGCATTTCAAGAATGAGTGCCACTTTGTCTCAGAGATTGAAAAACCAGTGAATTGGATATGAATTATCAGCATCGCCTTTTCGTTGGATGTGCTCACTAACTCGTCTCTCTTCAAACATTTTCAAAGGGTATCCTCGCCCCGAGTCTGCTCGCTATTCTGGATGGTCGTCTTTATGTCGCTCGGAATCGACTCAAGAATAGCTTTTTCATAATCACTTCTTGAAGTCTATTACAATCCAATTGGTTCTCAAACATTATTGACTGATATCTATGACGTACGTTCTGACGGCTCGACCCAAGAACGGCTTGGCATTGTTTTGACTAACTTAACATACATAAGCAGGTTCAATATTACCATTGACCCTAGTCGACGCGGCTCGGACTCATCCCTATCTGACGAGGAAGACTCGTCAGGAGTTCAAGTTTCGCCGCCCTCTGAGTCCGGAAGCCATGAATATCACGACCCTTATGATGAGTGGGCTCACTTACCATATCCGGACGAACTGAAGCCATCTGATTCGGCGTCCCGGCCCAGAGCGTCCATTCGCACGCGAAACCGCAATCCGACCCATGGCTCATCATCAGGCCCGAGCCGCCGTCACTCTGCAAGACGTCATGTTATGCCGGAACGGGAGTCATTTGTCCGTCGATCCCGCCGTCAGCCTTCCCCCGACTCCCCAGAGAGTATGGATTCCGCTGAAGAATATGCGACTCCGTATGGTCGGACATCCCACGAGAGAAGGCTCTGGCCGCCCATGGCTCAAGGCTCAAACTACGCACATAGCACATCACCGGGGCCATCCTATGTGTATCCGAACAGCGGCATATCACCCGGCGCTTTTGCGCATTCTGGTCTTCATCCGCCATCAGATCAACTTGTTAGATTGAGTCACCATCAGACGGGTCATTCGACAGCTTACAGCCATCCTATCTATGGGTACGGCCCTCAATATCAACATCCTCATGGGCCCCCAATGCCGGCATTCTTCATGCACGAGCATCATCCTGGGCACCATATGCCGCAAGTACACCCTTCTAGCCAAGGGAGAAGTGATGGGCATAGCCCACCACAGCAATCAACAGCACATGCAGTTCCACCACATGGACCATCACACTATGGTGGAAACCCATTAGGCCCTCACGAACTTATTCCATACGGCCCGGGAGGTTATTTCCCATTCAGAGAACCCTACCCCATGGTGCCCGGAATGGTCCCCCCGCCCTACCTCAACACCTACCCCCGCGTACCATCTCCCAGTCAGGGGGAATCAAGTCCATCTCCAGTCCCTGCCGCTGCAGAAGTTGCTAAGGATGAGGCAATTGCAAGGCTAGAGAAGCTGATCCTAGAAGAAAGGACAGAACGCGAAGCGAAAGAGGCGCGAGAGGCTGCGCTTCGAGCTGCAATTGAAAAGGAAGCCGCCGAGCAAGCTGCCCGAGAAGAGCGTGCTGCGCATGAAAAGAAACTCGTCGAGGAAGCCGCCGCTGCCGCTAGAGCGGAGGCGGAGCAGAAGGCTGCTGAAGAGGCTGCAAAAGCGAAGAAGGAGGCCGAAGAGGCCGCTGCGGCCGCTAGAGCGGAGGCGGAACAGAAGGCTGCTGAAGAGGCCGCAAAATTGAAGAAGGAGGCCGAAGAAGCTGTTGCCGCCGCTACAGCCGCAGCAAACAAGGGCCCAGAAAAAAAGAAACCTATCAAATTCAAAGATGCTGTCGGTAGGAAGTTCAGCTTTCCTTTTGATTTGTGCTGCACATGGCAGGTATGATCCCCTCTTGGCCTCGCGCAAATGCTCTTTTCTAAAACCATGAGTTTAGGGAATGGAAGAACTTATACGACAGGCTTTCCTCCATATTGAAGTAATAGGGCCTCATGTTGCAGAAGGTCATTATGATCTAGTAGGGCCGAATGGTGATATCATTCTCCCACAAGTCTGGGAAACCGTCATTGAACCGGACTGGACCATTACCATGCACATGTGGCCCATACCAGAGAAGCCGAAGAGTCCTGATCCTGCAGAGGGGGGTACTGTCCCGGAAGGACAAGCAACTGCGGAAACCGCTCCAGGATCTGCTGATAGCGCAGTCATCGTTGCCCCTGATGATTCGAAGAAAAAATCCGAGCCGGCAGCAGGTATGTTCAGATCTCTTTTCATATCAACTCTTGCGGTAGTATTGTCGGGGCCTTCCTTCCCCCGCAACCGCCCACTTTATTTTTTATTTTTCTTCTTTTCTCCCCCTTATACTGGACCAGTTAATTCAAATTTGTTACAATGGCGCATTTGTTCTCTCCAAGTATTAACCTAGCATTCGACCTTAGGTACAAAGAAACCACGTGCGAAGGGTCCCGACCCCGGCGCTTTTGCCATGTGGATGGTGGGCAGCAATCGTTTGAGATTGAACAAGGCTTTAAAAGCGGGAAAAAAGCCTAAAGCATTCCAACATCACGGTAGCTCTTGCCGTGTTATGTGATAGGGTCGTATCCTAGGCGGTTGGCTGGTAGCTATCTCTGGCCATATGCAATGGATCGCAGTCATGGCTCGTTCCCTGCCGGGTCTGTGCTCGGCAGGTTCTCGTCTGCCAGGCAGCCCAACGACATACTGGGATACAGGCTTGCCCTATCATGGTCTGCTTTAGAGGGGCATGGCTTTTCCTCTCGACAAGCTCGGGATTGGTTTCTCATGCCTCAGTGGTTGGAGTTGGTAGTATTTTTATCATATGTTGAGTTATGTAAAGATCAAGCATTGGATTATGGTGACATTTCATACTTTTCCTGGCCAGGGGTGAAAGTTTCTGGAATAATATCTGTCTGTATCAGCGAGGAAATGCGTGCTGGATTATGTGCACTGGAGTTTCTTATATACCCATAGAGCATGACTCTCAATGTTTTTTAAGATTATATTGACTCCTGGTCCATTGACATCGAGCTTTTTCAGTTATAAAAACAGGTTGTATGAACTATGTATCATTTTGGTAACAAAGGCTCCCACTTGATTTCTGAATTTACTTCACCATCAAGTAGGTCCTTGGTGATGTCTGTATGACGCTCAAATTCACCAAAGTGCCCGAATCCAACGCTTAGAGAGTCTTGACTACCTGGAACCCTGCGTTCAGCAGGTGGAGTTCTGATTTGGTCGTTCAAATCGAACCTCGAAACGCCAAGTCGATTACTTGGCTGCGACGGAACGCTCTCCGGTACTTCCATACCGGACTGCCATCCAGCTTGGCCAGACAAGGCCTTATGATCGTTGCTTAAAGCAACAGGTTTGCGAGGGATTGGTGGTGCTTTTTTGGCCCCATTTGCTCTGGAAGATCGCATGTCAGTGTCTTGAATCAAATCCGATGAATTCGCAGGTCCCTTCCCACCACGTGGGGGCAATGGGGGCTTGTATGTGATGGAATCTATGTTATTCACCACCGCCTTTTGACTGTCCGTTAATCTTGAAGGTACCCAATCGGTGTCATTACTTGAAGAAAATGGGTTGGACTCGCGATTCATGTTCAGTGACCATCCATTTGAAGGCGGCTGTACAATTGATTTCACCAGCATACCTGCCACGTATGAGTGTTAGAGTAGCCAGACACGACGATGTTTCCTGGGAACCGATTCAAGATTTGGGGAAGTCATACCATTGTCCAACCACCATCTCCGATCGTCTGAGCTGGCTGGTGGAAGGTCAAGTGTAAGAAAGTCCAGTTCAGCTGACTCTCGCTTACGCATTTTTGTTTGGGTCTTCGACCTTGCCGGTGTCTCGGGTGCATCCCCTATCTCCATTGCATAGATCATGCTCCTGATATTTTCCCTTAGGTGATCATCAACAAAATTGATGTCACAGGAAAAAAGTGCCCACACGGGGCGATGATCTGAGCACTGTAAACAAGCAGAGTCGTAATGCAGCTGATGTATATTTGATCCTTTCCACAGAATTCTATCGCACCATGCAGGGATGCGGGACTTTTCGCTGCTGAGTATTAGTCTCTCGATAAATAAAGGAGTGTGTCGAAGAAACAGCGTATTATCTTACGATGTGTCGTAATAATTTGTGCCAACGTTATATTTATAAGTCGGTGGAAATGTAATGAGCCCCTCGCTGTAGAATTGGAACACATTGCCCGCCATCATTTGCAGGTTTAGCTTCAGCTTGAATTAGCGCATAGACCTTCACTTGAGTGAATCACAGTACCTGATCATTGTCGTGCAACTCCTGGTAGTTGCGTTGCATTGCCAGGTCTCTGACGGTCTGATTACTGAGACCTATTCGGTAGTTGAAATCACCAAGCCAGATGATGGTGTCATGATCATCAATCGTTCTGTTTTGCTGGAACCTGAGACCACGACAGATAGTTTCATAGTCCTTGTTTCTCTCTTCATAGTTCGCGAATCCAGCTGCAAGGTGAGCAGTCACAAAGCATATGCGAGTCTTTGAATATTCAAAGCGGATAGCACAGCCTCCTTTGTTACCGCTGATCCCCGAGAGACCTGTCTTTCTAATCGTTAGATACTCATAACGAAGCAACACTTCTTGCACTGGTCACTCACTTTCCTGACACTGCCTTCAACATTCTTTATGTCTCTGAGTATATCTTCTTTCACAAATATCATAAGAGCTGCTCCAACCAGCTGGCCACTCCGCAAAAGAACGTACTTTGTACTCCCCATCTTCTCAGCACGATTGTTGAGACAATTTCTGACAGCAGCTTCCCACACTTTGCGAGGAGTGGGGTCGGTAGACATGATTTGTTGTGGATTTAGTGCAACAATTTCTTGAAAACCAACGGCAAAGATACTTGGATCTTCGCCCCCTGGATCGGGGAGAGGAAAGAGCCAGGGTATTAAATCATTATCAGGGCCCTCATAGCGTCCATTAACGTTAAACGTTCCGGTCCAGATCAGGACCGATTTCTTGTAAGAATACTCGGATGCTCGCTGAGTGAGTCTCTCGGAGACTATATCATTTATCGGATCGAAGAGCTGTACTGGGGCTTGGTTTGTTAGACGTCCTAGGAGTAGATCTATTGTCCTTTGTCGAGCTTTGTCAGAGAAGTTGTTCACGTATAGCCGTGTGGCGGTTTTGCGTGCATCTGCAAGGGCACCAGCGAGAGACATTTTTCCATGTCGCGTGAACGAGCTTTTTAGCGCACCAGTACCAGCGTAGATTCGCGATAGAGCATCCCCGTTGTCGGCCCAAAGGGTTGAGTGTCTGAGTCGATGTTCGGGATCAATGTGAGCTCCCCGTTGACGAAAGAAAGACTCAAGGGCCATCATGCTAATGATCGTCTGTACAAGGTTGGTTCTGTCAAGACAATCTAGACAATTCGTCCGAAAAATGCCTTCTTGTTGCAGAACGACGGGTGAGGCGTTTGCCTCGTTACCATAGCAGGTGCTCTCTGATAAGAAGTATCCAAAACCATCCACAGAATGCAAGATAACGTCCTTGATTTGATCGCTAGCTCCATAACCTAGCGGACCACGGGCCTCCGCATGAAAATCGAATTCCGTCATTTCAAGTAACATATGGTTGGAGGAGGCACGAGAGTTAGACTTCTGGTTAAGTGGACTTCTGCTGACCAATTCTTGAAACCTCGTTGAAAGCTCGACTTCTCCGGGTTTCAGAGCGCTCAGGAGATTAACGATATGTACAGCGCCGTATCGCGATTCAAGACTTTCGAAGTGTTTGTCGAAGGCGTGTTTGGTTGCTTCGCGCGACCTGATCACCTCAATCCTCTGCTGGCCAGGGAAGAAGCCAGGTGCTTGTTCCCAAAAAAGGGGCACAGAACCACGAATCTGGACGTATGAGAAAGTGAGGCCGGGAGGAATCCAGAGAACGGTTTCCGTTTCCACAAAATTTGCAACGTTTCCGTCATCGTCAATGCCCCTAGAATTGAATCTCGTACCTGCCCGTCGGGATGACTGGCGTGATATAACAGTCAGTGTCGATGGCAAGCGCGTTGGCGCTTGCGGAACTATCGGTCTAGAAGTGGGAATGGTCAAAGTGCTACAGAATCCTCGTATTACATACGTCAACATTCGAGACATGTCGAGGTGCAGTTTCTCAAGCGGAGACAAGTGGCTTCTGAGAAGAAGAAGAGGGTTAATCATGTATGAGTTCCACAGCATGTCCTCATCTAAAGAGCCCATGTCGAACGCATCAGCTTTGTCCGAGCTGACAATATGTCAGCAACCCACTGTATACCTATGGGTTAGGCATTCTATCGGCTTACCGGTTCTGCAGCCGATCAGTGAGATCGAAATCTAGACTATAGTAGAAACTGCCATCACTTAGGAGCTTCTTCAACGCTAAGAATGGGTGATCAGTGACAATTTCTTTATTTTCACCCCGGTTGGGTTCTTCAGCGGCAAACTCGGACTCGGACTCATAATTAAGACCATCTTCATAGCTTGAATGGTTGAGACAAACTGCTTTGGTCAGAAAAAATAAGATAAACGAGGGAATGGGAGCTATTACGAAAGTGCACATTGTCGATTCGCCATACAGCTTCGCCAGGCCTCACTGTTGCGGCCTTAGAGGCACCAGTCACCACACACAAGAACACATCGCCGTCCAGAGCGATTAACCCAAGCGTACCGTGCCCATCGCATATATAGCGGTAACCTGTTAAGTCCACGGAAGACAGACTGCCAAATTCAACCAAGCAATGGATAGTGTCTCGTTCGTTCTTCCTTGTACTGTGGTCCACTTCTGCTGCGATGGCTTTAAAGACCAAAACGTTGTCAGTAGTGGCCAAAATCAGGGTACGCTGAGGGTAGTCTCTGCGGAAGACTCGCAAAACAGGCATTCTTCGAACAAGATATCAGAATTTGATTCTCATAGTGGGTATATATGAAGTGTATAGAGGATCTCCGAAGGGATTAATATCACAGCTCAGACCCAGTTTCAGAGGGACTGACTCAGCGACTTAAGTGATTAACAGCACATTATGATGCTTGAGTATTAGTTAGGTAAAAGAGCCAATATTAGTATTTGGGAATAATATACTATTCTCAATAAGTTGAGTGTTATTATTCATGATGAATATGGAAGGTCATGAGGATTTTGGAAGAATTAGGCCATCGCCAAGGCCCTAAGGAGACTCAAGGTTAGGGGGACCCTATATTATGGCTGTAAGACTTGTAGTGTTATCTACTATATTATTATTACTATCACTACGCAGATAACAGATACATAAGTATACCTTAGATATGGAGTATTCTATTTGTTTTTAGGAGTACATAGGTACCTAGGTATCAGATGTATCCAAGGCGGTGGGTAGGGAAATAAGCATGATTTAATAGCTGACTCAGGTCGCGGAGGTAACTACCATGTCAGAGAAAATAATTTTTCCGCTCTACCAAGTCTAAAAGAAAAAGATGCCTACAATGGTTACTCCATTTAGATACCCTTGCCGTACTCCTGCTTTACTTTCCATCCTCTCTCTCTCCGTCTTCTTTTAGTTTTGATTTTCCAAGAGTAATACTTCAAAAGCAGTTTTTTAGTTTAGACTCCAAGTCTCCGTCACATCGACACTATCTCCATCTTCTCTTATCTTCGCTCAAAAGTTCTTTTCGCTCCTATCGCAAATGGGCCTGGCGGCGCCTCGCAAGTAAAATTTCAAAATAATGTCACTGCGATAAGTCACTGACCAAAATATGCAGGAGAACCAAAATCTCGCATGATCCCAATAACACCTCTTGGTCACGATCAACGGATGGTTTTGGACACAGGATTCTCAAAGCCCAGGGCTGGACTCCCGGTGGCTTCCTCGGCGCCCGAAATGCCACTCACTCTGATCTATTCACTACGGCTAGCGCATCACATATAAGAGTTGTCTTGAAGGATGACACATTAGGCCTGGGAGCTCGGCCAAAGAGGGACCTTTTGGATGGACCCACTGGCCTGGACGCATTCAAAGGATTACTCGGCCGGCTCAATGGTAAATCTGATACACAACTTGAAGCGGAGCAACAAAAGCGGGATGATGCTAAATTGGCTCGGTATGCTGCAACGAAGTGGCAGACTGTCAGATTCATAAGTGGCGGACTTCTTGTGCAGGAGAAGGATAATGCTACGGCTTCCCCGGCTTCTCAGGCTCTTCGCGTTGACTTCCCACGGAAAACCTCTTCCCATGAAAGTGAAAATGGCATGTTTAAGATGGAGCCCATGGATAGCGACTCACAACAAGAAGGCTGTGCCACGACCAAGGAGGAGGGGAAGAAGAAAAAAAAGAAGAAGAGCAAGAAGAGGGAGGAGCTGGACATGAGTTCCAGAAAATCCCGCGAAAAGAAACCAGAGAAGAGACAGAAGAAACGGAAAATTAGTGACTGTGACGGGCTCGACGCGGAAACAGCGGACAAAACCTCTACGAAAGTCCTTGTAGCGGTCGCAAACGATAAAGGTACATGTCTGCTAGCCTCGAACGGTCCATCAACATCGAGGGAACGCCAACCTATGGGAAGACGGTTCTTTCGAAGCCGCCATATTGAACAAAAGAAGAGAGCTCTCATGGACGATAAATCTCTCAATGAGGTATTTATTACCCATTCCCATTAGCAACCCTTTTCCATGTTAAACAAAGGCTAATTGGCACAGATATTCATGATCAAAACATAATAATAAATATTCACCGGTGTGGCCCATGTCAACCTACCTAGACACCCGTGCTCAAAGAATCAAGTCTACACCTTGAATGAATATTATTACTATCTTGTATTCCCCATAGTAACTTACAGATCGAGATTCAGCAATGATCTGATAGGCTGATGGTATTACTTAATTGACTTGCGTCCGGCTCTGGGGCACAATGTTTCACTTATTTACCTTCATGTGCCTTCTAGGTCGTTTCTTTACTTGATGTCGCGGCGGGCCAAGCTGAGGCTATACCAGGTATTGATTTCCTAGACATTTTGAGATATTCAGATATATGATCGGAGCCCGATGCCTCGAAAGACTTATTCGCAAATCACTTCGCTGAAAGAAACATAAGTGCGCCATTCAAGCAGGATAGTAGCAAAGATGGTGTTATTAATGTTCTAACGTTCGATTTTGAAAGTAGTCTGACCGTCGGGGTGATATCTGGTAGATTCAGAGATGGCCCTTCTTGATCCCCACTTTCCCCAACTAAGTACCTAGGAGTGTGTCTATGGAGTACATAAATTGGCTGGCAAGTACCAGAGGTACGGAACATAACCTTACGCTCTCAACTTCCAAGTCCTCAAGGTACTATCAGCAAAGTACAAATTAGTATGAACATATAAACACAGAGTTCACCCGCTCAATAGTCAATACTCTTCATGCAGAACTGACCCGCCTTCAAACGTCATACCACTCATACGGGATCCCACTGCACACGGCGACCTGGGTCAGATCCAAGCTCCAAATCATCTACCACTCTGCAGAGTGATCAATTCTTTGATCATTTTAGGAAAGGAATCGACAGCGCATTTGCCGAAGTGGAATACAAATCGATACCAGGTTTCCGGCTCAAATAGGACTTGAGATTAGGCGGCAGAATTACCCTTGCTGAAGATTCCCAACATCGAGCCGGTTAGTCTACTTCAGAGTAGATTCCTGCCTATCTTTTGCACTCGTGGGTTGTTTCCACTTCTTCTTGAGCAAAAATGTCAGGCCAAGAAAATCTACAAGCAGGAAGCATGCAGCTGCAGCCTGAGTCGGTGATTCAGTCCTCATTTTCGGGAAAAGTCAGTTTGAGCCCAGAGACCCAGACCGAGCAGAATACCTCGCGCGTGAATCATGTGCAAAGTGGTAATAAATCCCGGGATTTTGTAGCAAACAACACCGAATTATCAGATGCGGATCTCTATTCTCCGATAAAACGGATTGACACCCCAGCGATACTATCCTCGCACGACCATTCTCAGTCAGGGCCGGGCTGTTCAGAACCGCGAAGGCATGCAGCCAGGAGTCGGTAAGTTCTCGTTTTTCGAATCACCTTTTCTCCTCTGCAGTCGTGTGCGCGGTTTTGGTGTATATGTAGAACCGAGAGTTTCTGAAAATGATGGCTGATAACGTTTAGGGGCATTCGTTGGGCTCCCTTGAATATCGGTCTCGAAAGACGCATGCAGACGTTCGTGGTCTTATGCCACACTTTGACAATCGCAATATTCTTAACATTTTTCTTCTTCGCTTGTGCCATACCTGTATTCTGGCCGCTGTTACTCCCCTACCTAGTTTATATTTCACTTTTTTCATCGTCTGCAACGTCTGGAACGTTGAGTGGGCGTAGCGATTTTATGCGTTCGCTCCCGATATGGTCACTTTATGCCTCTTATTTTCCTGCTTGCTTGCATCGCTCTGAAGCGCTACTTCCAACACGCAAATATATATTCGGCTACCACCCACATGGCATAATTTCTCACGGTGCATTTGCAGCATTTGCTACTGAAGCACTCGGATTCTCGAGGTTGTTTCCGGGAATCACAAACACCTTACTTACCCTTGATTCGAATTTTCGAATTCCGTTCTACAGAGAATATGCTCTTGCCATGGGACTCGCCAGTGTTTCCCGGGAGTCTTGTGAAAACCTACTGTCTAAAGGTGGTGCTGACGGGGAAGGCATGGGCCGCGCGATTACAATTGTCATTGGTGGGGCTCGCGAGTCCCTGGACGCTCTACCTCACTCTCTGCGCCTTGTTTTAAAATGCCGCAAAGGATTCATAAAGCTAGCAATTCGCACCGGTGCTGATCTTGTGCCGGTACTTGCTTTCGGTGAAAACGATCTCTATGAGCAGGTGCGATCGGATCAGCATCCCGTTATACACAAACTTCAAATGCTCATTAAGCGTACGATGGGGTTCACGATCCCGCTCTTTCATGCTCGTGGGGTTTTCAATTATGACGTGGGACTGATGCCTTATCGACGTCCATTGAATATTGTCGTTGGCCGGGCTATTCAAGTCGTTCAACAGCGTGACAGAGACAAGATCGACGAAACGTACATTGATGATCTTCATGCCAAGTATATACAAGAGCTTCGACGGTTGTGGGAGCAATACAAAGATGTCTTTGCGAAGGACCGAATCTCTGAAATTGAGATAGTTGCATGAAATGGCCTCGATTTCATCTTTTGATGCACTCCTCTTGTAATAGAACAAGGGCCAAAGAATTAGGTAAGAAAAAAGAGAGAGCTTCCCGGCAAGCCTGGACAATATTCCGCCTCTGATCAAATCATCAACCACAAGCGCGCATCCTCGAAGTAATCCCCAGGAAGAGGCCTGTGAGGTAATATGGTTTGAGGGACCATCGATCGATTACCTTCGATCTAATGACTTGACACTTTAGGTCAGCAATCAGCTTCGGGCGTCTTGAGAACATGTCGTGGCGTATGTATGCCTACGAACTTCGTCTGAGATAACACCTGGATAATGGATGCTTCATATCAATTCTGTCAGAGGAATCCCTCATAGCGACATTGTTCCTGCTGGCAATTCGGTTGCCTCCATTGCCACAGGTGAATCCAATCCCAAAGTATGGGGGTGGTGCTCCGGAGGTTTTCATGTCCAGAAATGCTAGAACAAAATTCGATAGATATTCTCTACCTATGTTCTGGTTCAAGAGACAAATCCTCATGCTGAGATGGCTGGTTGCCTCCGATGAATGAAGTGTTTGAATGACGGCCAATAATCCTCAATTTTGGAATCACTATATCAGGACCGAACTTCACATTCTACCATCCACTCCAACAGATTTTCTCCATACACCATGTATGCTCTTTGGTTACATCTATGGCTCTTGAATATAAATAGGAGGGTTGAGTCCTGCTTTAACATGCAAAGCAAAGCTATATTGGTTTTATTCAATTTAAACATAACTATCTCATTAAGTCGGGTTCAAGGAAAAAGATTATGCACGGGTATCTAAATATGCAGCGAAATCATGACTACACCCACCAGCAGATGGTAGCCTCCTGATTCCATCAAGACCACCTTTGAAACACCAAGGCATAAAGCCAAAACTGGCAGCTCACACCAGTAGTCATGACCACAAACAAAGGGGGAGGAACGGACTCAGTATGAAGGTAACTGGGAATATTCGGGGGAGATTGTGGATAGCGGGAGATATGGGATTCGGGCGGAGGCAAGGGGATACCAGTTGGGACAGAAGGACGACTTGGGACTTAAGCCACTGAATCTCACTCATTCACATGACATTTGTCCCATCATCTGAAATTGTGCTAGCTGTGTTTAACGCAGGGATACCTGCCTCCGGTTCAAGCGCTCGTTGCTTTTCATCAGTAACACGAACACTTCCGCGAGATCCTTTCACTAAATGACCGCTCTCCACTCTATCCTGTATCATTTCATCGAGTATGCGCGAGACGTCGTCCATGCTCTTTCCATCTGGTCCTTTCTCATCAGATTCGGGCGACGAAAGGGAACCAGCGGCACGGCCATATGATGGCATAACACCGCCATTACTATTTAAAGACGCACGCTTGGTTTTGGGGTCCGCAGCGCATGGGTCTGTTGTGACATGTGCGAGATCCCAGTGTCGTGCGGCAGACCGAAGTGCCGCTAGCATCCGATCCTTATCATCCAGCTGCAAGCGGAGTTCGTTGATTTCCATATCTTTCTCACGGAGCAGAGCCCTGAAGTCCGGCTCTTCTGAGGGAGCATTTACTGACTTCACACCCATAGATATCCGAGAGTGACTTGAGCGTCGGGCTTGCAGTAGGCGTCTCTCCAGCGTTGAGATATATCGATTCTTATCGTTAAGATCAGCTTGTAGAGCAGCAATCTGTCTCTGGGCGCTTGCTCTTCCGTCTGCAAACTCTCCCATAATTTCGTCCTCTTCATGTTCAAGTGGTGCGCATTGATACGGCAAATTCGCCGACACTTCAGTGCTGTTGGTAGACAGGAAGGAAACAGGCCGGACCGATGAAAATCCACATGCACCCAATGTTGACTGACTCACGGACGACCGCAGAGACCGAGAAATGGAGTCGGTAGTAGACATCCTAGAAAGCCGCCCGAAGGCGGCTATACCGTTATGACTATTGACTCCAGTTGATTTAGAGCAGAGGATCAGACGATTGAGATGTTCAATACGTTCCTTCAGCGCTGTTCGAGCTAGTTGCATTTCAAGCATTTGCTCCTCGTGGCGCACTTTTGCCTCTTTCTCCAATTGTTGCTCTTCCAGTTTTAACTCCTTCTCAGCTTGATCCTTTGCCTGACTTTCAAGCTGACTGCGTAGTGTTTGAATCTCCATGCGGTAGCGCTCCAGAAGAACTCGGCTGCCCGCATCGCCCCCGCCACTGCCAAAGGCTTCCTCTGCCCTCTTAGCGTGACTGACGATGCTGTTCTTGGCACGGGCGGCGAATTTCAGCGTGTTTAGAGTCTCAGTTGAAAGTGAACCCGTTGTTGCTGAGCCGCCAGACCCATCAATCTGGATTGTACAGAGGATGCTGACAAGAGAATTCCCTGAGAGAGCCGGTTGTAGCAGCCGTGTAAGCTTGCTGTCACGATACGGAAGATGTCTGCCGTCGCGATCAGCCGAGGTTCCGCCCTTATCCTTGTTCTCCGAGAGCTTTGCGATAATCGTGCCTAATGTGAGTAAGCTTTTATTTATATGAGCACCTTCCGTCCGACGCTCTTTATCCTCTGCAGCGCGCTCAGACCCAGCCAAATCGATCAAGCTAAGGGTCGACACCCTGACTCCCCCTGGGGCCATGCCGGAGCGCCGTTCTTGGGATGGGTTGCTCGTTGGTGCTCGTTCTCTGCTCTCCACAACAATCTGGACGACGGCATGACTTCTAGAACTACGAGCATTGAACTGCGTGCTGCCCGTTCTCCGTGCAAGATCACCTCTGGCAATTACACGTAGGAGTTGCGTAGGGCTCTGCACAATCTCTTCCTTTAACGGAGTGGCATACACACCTCGTTTGCTGTCTTCGCGGAGTTTGATCTCCTCCTGCTGAGAATTCGCAAGCCCAGTAGAGCCCGACGTCGACAGGAGGTCATGAATCTTTTCGTTGTAGATCTCCAGGTAGCTGACGCGAAGCAGAAATTCCCGGTGAGGTGTCTCTCTGATGAAAGAGAAGATATCCGTTATTGCTAATGGTATCACACCGGGAGAAGTCGCGGTCCCTTGCATAGAGAAGGTTTTGCCAGTCCCGGTCATGCCATAAGCAAAGACTGTTCCGTGATATCCTTCCATAACCCTTCTCACAAGGCGCTTGGCCGCTGCGTCGTAGACTTTGGCATTGTGCTCGTGCGGCGGAAAGACATTGTCTGTTGTAGAAGTAGATTGATCAATTAGCCATGCGAATCGTTAGAAAGGTCTTGATCTAGGTGCGCACCATATAAATAGTCGACTCCGCCTTCCTTTCCTTTATAGGAGATTAGGCCGCGCCGACCGTCAACAACCCAATCGCCGTCAGAAGCCGAGCCATCTGTCCCGGTCAGATTGGGACGTACACGGACGCTGACGATCACATTTCCTTTCACTTGCTTGGTTCTCGAATTTGACTTGGCGATCCCTGTCGCATCATCCGGATCTTCACAAGTGGTCGCACTTGTTGAGTACGATCCTTGGGCCGACGAGCTTCTGCTCTGTGTAGGGGAGGCTTCTTGTTCTCGTAAGTCTAAGACAGGGCCATTTCTGCCGTCCCCATGTCCGTTCAATAGGGAAGGGGGTCTTGAACTTCGATAACTGCTGGTAGTCCCTGAACTTAACCTCGAACCACTCTTGACTCTCGCGCTGCCAAGCGAAATATTATTAGATCCCGAGATTGCGGAAGCCACAGAAGAACGACCATTGACTTTTGGAGGCTGGGGAAAGGCCGCTATGCTTATCGTCCTGCGAAGCGACTTCTCGGGACTGGCCGGACTCCGACCTCCCGACGCAGACCTCAGGCTGCCTTGGTTAGAGATTGAACTTGATAATGGGGACCTGTTAAAATTTGATCTAGGGCTGGAGGGCGTGCGCAATTTGGAACTTGAATGTGATGGAGATGACGCCCTCTGTACGTCAGTTGATAGGGGCAAGCTCTTTCTGACTTTCGGTGCTGGCAATGGCGGCAGAGTACCAGCCGGAGGACTCGCGGCCGGTCGGGACGGTTCTGGTATGGTGGACATAGAGCGCTTATATATTTTGAGGTCTTTCGTTTTGTTCGTTGCCCTGTCGTGATAAATGGACCAACTTCAAAAGGGGCTCAGATTAGAAGTGGCATGGTCATGGGGGAAAATGAAGGTGCGCGAGCTTGCGAAGCCGATATGCAGGCGTGACGAAACCAGGCTATCAGATGAGCTGGCAAAAGTCAGATAGGAGATCGGATACATATATGGAGCATCATTATGGCGACACAATAGGAAGGGCCCGGTTTACGCCCCGATGAATTGATCAGAAATGCGAACATGCATTTTTCATACTAGATCAAAGCAAGACAAGCCCCACTGGTACCGACACTGTTCATAGAAGGCCATGTCGGAGGAACAGAGAAGAAATGGATAGATAGAGGGAGAAATGTAGGCTCGATAGATACAAACTGAAGCCAGAGTACTTACAGTAATATGACGACTGTCTCCTATTAGCGATGTAGGCCTGTAAGCCACCTCGAGTACTTGAGAGGATACAGAATCTGGACCTTGCTGGGGCATTCAATAGCGGGTGATCTGAAGCCTTCAGCAGCCAGAACCAAACAATGGGGCCTATATGGATCTTCGATGTTGTTATGTTTTCGATTGACTCACTCAAAGCAACTACTCGGAGCGCCTTTCTGGGAGCGTTTCTGGGTATTATCGATGGAGACAGATGAGAAACGATCTCGTGTAATATCGATGAGCGAGCACGAGAGAATATACAGGCAGAGACGACGACTAGGATGAATAACACTGTAAATAAGCGTAGAAGAGCCAGGTGTTGGACTGAAGATGGTCAGGACCATCGTCCTCCATCCTTTTAGCTCGATTTTGTTAGTCGCGTCTAGTCTGGTAGATACGGACGGAGTAAAGGGAGAGCGGGATTGAATCTCCCCTTCCATATTGTCTAAGGCAGAACAGGGAGAAGTCAGTTTCCCCAACTCCTAAGATACCTATCAACGACATGA